CTTTTCAAAAGCGCCTCGCTCTCTCCGACCCCCTCCACCTTCCACCCCCCCCCCCAAGTTTCGTAGTTTCTGCTGCGCTCTCTCTCTGGATATCCGCCATCAGCCCACAAGAGAGGAAGTCCCTCTCTGTGGATAGCCAGTCAGCAGGAAGCGGGGGTCATGTGACCAGCCCTTGTGGTTGAAGTGTCAAACATGGGGAAGCCTGATGCAGACTGAGCTGCCCCGCCGCAGAGGGCTGCGAGCTCTGCAAGCTCTGTTGAGCCAGGTGTGGCAGAGTCTCGGTACATGCTTACCCTGGCTTGCTGCAGCAGAGGAACGGCTCAGGCTCCTGCGCAGGTCGCGCTGATGGGCAGATGAAGGATCCCACCTGCAGCAAGTACACCTGACTTAGCCTCATTCGTCCGGGCCGGAGCTGATCCCTTTAAGTTGTGTAGAATGAACATCTGATTAGTGAACACTCCTGACGGAGCAAAGGGAGTATGGAGTGTGAGCATCATGGCAGTGAGATGCACTTGTGCGCCACTCTGCTGAGCTGGGGCGCCAGTGGGAGCCTGGTCTCAGGGCCACGACCTGTCCCTGTGCTTTTCCCCTGTCCTTCCTCGGGAGACCAGCTTCTCCTCCGGCTCCTGTGTTTAGCCTTTCAAGGGCTGCATTGATCTGCCAGCCTCGGCGGCGGCGGCGGCGCGGCAATTCGTTAGCGGGTGACATCAGATCGGCGCGTATGGCGGATTGATCCCTCGCCACGCCTCTCTCCGGCTCAGCTGGTGCTCTGTTCAGAGGTCACGAGGTCATCAGAGGTCATGACCCAGCAGGCCTGGGTGAGAATGGCGGGGGAAAAGAATCGAGTCCCGCCAGGCCGCTCGGATGAGGGATCGGACCGGGTCGTGCTGCTCGCTCTTCCCCCAGGTGCCGAAGTGTGAGGGTTTATATCTGCCTCTCGCTGGCAGACGGGGGCGCTAGCAGCACTGGTACAGCTCTGTACAGAGCCACCGCCCCTGAGAGGCCGGTGCTGATTTCTCCCTCTGCTGAGAACCACACACACTCGTGCGTGTGGTAACGTTGGAGCCCCCTGCTGGCTTGGGGCTCACCCTGTGTGTGTTCCCTGTGTGCTGTGTGCTGTATGGTGTGTAAAAGAAGGCTTTGTGTACGTGCCCTAGCTGCTCTGATACTTACTGTATTTTTTGCACTTTGTCCTGTTGCCATAGCAATCCTGGGAAATCTGCTGGCTGCCAGGGCAACAGAATGAAATCCTTTTGCGTTCCTGTGTGTGTGTGCGCACACAGCTTTGCGTGTCCTCTCGTGTGTGTGTGCGCGTGCGTGCGCACGGACAGCTTTGCGTGTCCTTGTGAGTGTGTGCGTACGTGTGAGTGCGCGCGCAGTTTTGTGTCTGTGTGTGTGTAGTTGAGTGCACACTGCGCATTTTGCTTTATCTGCCAGTTTAATAGATTCTAGCAGAGATTATTATCACCAGATCTGCTGCTACTCAGTCTCTGTATCATCGCTCTTCCTGACCGCACCAGTGTGTCGAACCCGGGTCGAGTCCACCCTGCGAGCCTTCCCCTCTGGTCTGTGCTGGCTATTCATGTCCGCTGGCCTCTCCGGCTGTGTGTGCACCTCTGGTTGAGATTTCTCTGCGTCGATGTGTGTGATTGCTGTCTGCAGTGAGCGTGCAGCTCTGGCTGTAGCCCTTAGGATAGTTGTAGATCATGAAATATTAATCAGACCTATTCATTAGAGACTGGGAGGCCAAGATGACTGATTAATTGGGCTTTAATCTTTAATCAGCTGAGCCCTGTGCTGTATTAACAGCTGAGAATGAGAGAGAAAGAGACCGACAGAGAGAAAAGGAGTGGAGAGAGAAACAGACAGATAGCGAGAAACGGAATGTTCAGCCTCTCGCTTTTGTGCTCCATCATTGCAGTGCATTCTGGGCTCTGCAGTGCATGAAGCCCCTGCTTGTTACTGATGGGCGTGCGGGCTGGGCAGGGTGCTTTATAACATCCTCCGCGGTGAGCAGGAACACTCCCAAGCACACGGACCTATTAGCCAGGAAGGATAGAAGAAAGGTGCCAGACCCATGTCATGTGATCAGTAGTATCTTAACGATCTAAGAATTCCATCTGTTCCTTTCTTACAGTTATGAGTTGGGAGTGGATCCGCACCCCGGCTACTCTTTTGTAAAGAAGTGCATCCTGTTTTCCATCGTGTATGCTCCTTAAACACGATCAAGTCCAGTTATGAGTTTGAAGGCCTGAATCAAGTCTCCACTTGATCTCCTCTGCTCAAGACTTAAAGAGCCTCAGTTCCCTCGGGGCTGGTGTCTGTGATTGAGAGCCCCGGCAGTAAAGATGAGTTTTGAGTTTAACTTGCACAAGCCGTGCAGAGGAAACTTAACCGTTTTCATGAGCGGTAAGCAACATTTGCTTGCTTGTGATGGCAGTGTTAACATGGTCCAACCCCCCCCGGATTATTGGATTATGGTATAGTCCCATTTGCTCTTGAATAGGAGCCAGGCCGTACAAAGGTCAGTACCACCTTACTTGGGGAGGGGGGTACAGACCCATTCAGGAATGTGAAGGCTCTTCAAGGCCACTGCCTCACACATTGCCTGTCTGTTTATTGCCTCGACTCGAAGTGGCTTATAACTGCAAGGTCGTGATGTGCGTCACTGTGTTCTCCAGCATGCTCGCCTGTCTGTCTTGAGGTCTCCCCATTCTGTTATTGGCAGAAGGGGATGGCGAACAGAAGAAGGAAGGAGAGGAATGGGAGGGGAAAGTGGGGCTTCTGTATAGAAGTCAAAAGACAGCGGGTACTTAGAGTGGGCTTTTAAACCAGCTGGTGGCTTCTGGAAATCTAGCCCTCGTCTGTCCGCCAGCTGCGCAGC